TAGCAGGTTGTGATAGAAATTTTTGAAATGTGTGGTTGAAAAGTTGTGTGACTCATGGAAGATATGGTTAATATTGGTTGTTTGACTTTAACTTAAATTAAAATCCGATTTTAATTTGTACCAAACATGCTCATCATATGATACAAACACTAACTACTATATATATATATCACACGAAATCAAATCATATCACACAAACACTAACTACTAAACAACTGGTAAAGGCAATTAACAACTAATGATTCACCCCTCACACTTAAAATACACATTGTTCCCAATTTAAAAATAAATAAATAGGTGGGTTAAGACTTTCCTAAATACATCAACTTGTGTCATTGCCATCATCTTGGTGAGGTGGATATAGATTAGCTTTCTGATCACGTTGTTGCCCACAAACTTAAGAATATTCCTACAAACAACATAACGAGAATGTTATGATAATAAAATACACAATCCTAAAGCTAAAAACTAAGTAATAAGAATGGGATAGAATTCGGGTTGCCTTCCAAGAAGCGCTTCTTTAAAGTTATTAGCTTGACTTTTTGTCATAATTGATTATGGTGGCTCGAACCTAGTTATTACATCCTTACATTTTATGTAGCTGTCATTAAGACACTCTTTCTTTGCCCTCCAAATTTTGAAGATTCCATTCACATATCTACCAAAAAGTCCACCAAAATTTGATTTTATTCTCTAAAAACTTCATTGATCAGGTGACTCTTCATCAATTCTACAGCAAACTTTGATGTTGGGAGGTTGCTCATATTGGTGTAATTATTGAATATCTCTTGCTTGTCCTCTATTCTCAATATTAGCTCATCCTTCTCCATGTCAATCAAGGTTTGACCCGTTGCTAAGAATAGCCAACCCAAAATAATTGGAACGTCTCGATCTTTTGGTATGGCCAACACAATGAAGTCCACGGGGAAAATTAAATTTCTTGCTTTTATGAGTGCGCCACGTGACCTTGAAATTGTTCTATCAGCAAGTTGTAATGTTATTGTGTTGATTTGACTTTTTCCAATCCAATTTTCCTGTAAATAGAATATGACATTAGATTTATACTAACACCTGTGTCATACAATGTATAGAATAAGAATTTTCAATGGAATTTGGTAAAATAAAACTCACTAAATCTTTCAACTTAGGAGAAAATTTGTTTTGTACTCTTGCACTACTTTCTTCCATTAATGCCACAATTTCAAATTTCAGAAGTTTTCTTTTCTTTGTCTACATCTCTTTCAAAAATTGTGTAGCTTGAAATTTGTAATATTGCATCAATCAATGGAATATTAATCTGGAGCTTCTTCAGAACATCAAGAAGTTTTTCAAATTTTGTGTTTTGTTTGTTCTTATTAAACCTTTCAGGAAAAGGAATGGGAGGTACGTAAGTCTTGATTAGATTTAGTGCATTGGTAGCAGATTTTTGTACTTTCTTCATTCTCAATTTAGGTTGGTGCAGATTTTTCTTCCATTGTATCTACTTCAACCTCTTCTGGTTATTTTTTCCTTATGGTCTTTTTTGCAGTAACTCTGGTAATTGTACCCAACTCTTGTAGTTATAGCATAAATATTTTCCTCCATCGACTTCTTTCGAAGTCTTTAAGGAAATGGAAGTAGAGGTACATATGTTTTAACGCTTACAGAAGCCCTGGGTGGATCGTTTTCGACTATTCTTATTACCATCACTTGCTTTTTAGGATTTGTCATTGTATGACTTGGCAATGATCCATATGGACATTCTGTAAGTTGTTGAGCTATCTGACCAATTTGTGTCTCCAATTTCTTGATAGATGCTTGCTAATTTTGAAAATGAATATCAATCTATTAGAATACTTTGTTTTTTCTGCATATATTGATGAAACATCTCTCCTAAACTTGGTCTTCTCTCTTGCTGGAAATTATTCGTATACGTGTTGAAATTAAGGGGGCCATTTTGAATAAAGTTTACTTGATCCTCTGAAGAAGTAAGCATAAAGCAATTTTCTGTAGCGAGATTTCTCCCACAATTCTCACATGCTGAACTAACCATCACCACATTTGTTCCATATGTTTGCAATTTTACAAGTAACTCTACCTTCTTTGTCAAAGGTCCTATCTATGCATTAGAAAACGTTATGTTGTTTAATTCATACATTTTAGCTATTTTCTATGGTACCACATTTTTTAATGAGAACATTGAATGTGTAGTAACAATTAACCCAAAAATTCCATACATTGTTGAATTGATTTGTCTACGATTGATCCACCAGCAGAGGAATCCTCCTGAGACATTGACAGTTGTGAAAGTCCGGTGTAAAAGTATTGTACTAGATTAACTATGGTAATTCTATGATTTGGACACTTTTTTATGAGCTCCTTGAATTTTTTCCATACCTCATGATAACTCCACCCATCTCTCTGTTGGAAAATTTGAATTTTCAATCGGATTTTTGCTATTTTTGCTGGTGAAAAGAATTTATTGTAAAATTTTCTAGTCAGTTCCTCTCATATAGCAATGATTCCATGAGGTTCAGCATCTAACCACTCTAATGCTTCATCTCGCAGTGTGTATGAAAATAATCGCAGCTTAATAAAGTCTTCATAATTCCTAAAGCATGAAAATTTTGACAATTTCTGAGAAATTTGGAGATATATGTATTCGGATTTTCATGAGATGGACCATAGAATTGGAGATTGTTGCTGGTCAAGTTAATCCAATTTGCTTTATTTAAAAGCTATTCACTCCAAAATCTGGATATGTTATACTAGAGCGTGCTGGAGCTACTATGAGCGTCAAAAACATTGAGACTGGTAAGTCCCCTTCATTTATTTCCTCTCATTCATGCTGCTAATCCAATGGTGCTGCTACTCTTGTGGCCACTTGTCCAATTGGTTGTATAGGAATAGGAATATTTTGATCGCCAGCTATTTGATATTGTTGTTTTCGTTTGTGTTATTTGCTTCATCTCTGAATTTACATTCAATTTTTGAACCAAACGATTCAAAATCGTCGTCTTGGGTACAAAGCATATAACTAACATCTTTTTTTTTTAAATAAAAGAAAGTAAATAAATCAAATAACAGTTAAAAATAAAACAAATTAAGACTAAAAGTAAATAGTACAAGACAACGGCATCAAAAACTTGTTGCATTTTTCTACCACAATGTACGATATCGTAACAAGTAATATAGTTGATCTTTAAGTTAGGATTGTCATTCTCACGAGGACTAGACTTTAATGCTTAATTTACAATTTCTAACTTATATTTGATGGAGATAAATAAGAATAGTAGTTCATTGTGATTTTTAATCTAGCTACTTAAAAATACATAGATGCACAAAAAGATTGATTTAGAATTTAAATAATGAACGAATATTATGATAGAATAATTTTAACTTTGATCACCTTTAAGTCTCAATTCAGCATTCAAATGTCTAACGCAGTGTTCAATCGAATTCTTCTATTGTATTTGATTTACCCCTTTCAAGGTCTCATTAAACTTATTTAACTAATTCAATCACATGTCTCTATACGAATCAACTTTAGTTAAACGAATTATTAATTCTAAGAATTCATATATTGACCGTAATAATTAGTATAGGTATCTCTACAAATTATACTAATTTATCGAATATTACTATATGATCTACATCTCAAACTCACCTCTCGATTCGTAAAAAATCACAAAAATTATCAAATTAGTGATAAGTAATTCAACACATTAAACTAATAGCAAAATCAACCCATGTAAAATAAAAGAATATGATTCTTGAATAAAAGAAATAAAGAATTCCAAGTAGATTACATTGTTCATCCTAATATGAAATTTAGCTACACAGTGAAAAAGGAAAAATAAGAAGTTGTCATTGAATATATCACCGAATTTTGAATAAAGATGTAGAAAAGAGATTAATCTTGTATCAAGATCTTTTTCCTCTTCCAATCATTGCTTCAAAACTTGAATTTCTTGAAAAAAAAAATCTCCTTTGAATTGCGTTTTTCAATCTCTAATTGTATTCTCTATCTTTCAACGTGTGGAATCCCCATGAAAGTGCTAATAAGTTGTATTTATACTCCACACGCTTGTATCGAACGTAGGGTTTTTATGGATTTCAAAACGGACTAAAAACGAGCTCTAGATACATCCATCAACACCTCGAGCCATAAGAATGGCGCCGCGGCTCAATATGGTGGGATTTTGTGGCACCACCGCTATCAGGTGAAAATCTTCATTGCACATGTAGAAAAGAGATTAATCTTGTATCAAGATCTTTTTCCTCTTCCAATCATTGCTTCAAAACTTGAATTTCTTGAAAAAAAAATTCTCCTTTGAATTGCACTTTTCAATCTCTAATTATATTCTCTATCTTTCAACGTGTGGAATCCCCATGAAAGTGCTAATAAGTTGTATTTATACTCCTCCACACGTTTGTATCGAACGTAGGGATTTTATGGATTTCAAAACGGACTAAAAACAAGCTCTAGATACATCCATCAACACCTCGACGCCATAAGAATGGCGTCACGGCTCAATATGGTGGGATTTTGTGGCACCACCGCTAGCAGGTGAAAATCTTCATTGCACTTTCTTAAGTATCTTTATAATAAATTTCTCTCCCAATATCATTAAGGCAATTCAAATTGGGTTGTAAGAATAACTCAAAGCAATACAATTCTACTAGAAATAGCTATTTTCCAATTTGAACGTTTACTAAGCCAAAAATAGATTTCATTATTTGACGAAAAATCTAGAACATCGTTATACAGTTGAAAATTGATTTGTGAAAATATTTTGATCATATTTCATTCATTTGACTTCTAATTGCACCCAATTAACCCCTATTATTCTCGAATCTTCATTTTGAGGTCCGACATAAGTTTTAATTATTTACACTTATAGTTCCCAAATTTTGGATCTTGCCACTTTTCACCGATTTTCCGCTTCTTTCAATTCCATGTTCATTCATCGAGTTTCACCTAATAACACATTATATATTAAATTAGACTAAATTTCATTAAAAGAACTAAGAAATGTCTATATTTTAGATCCCAAATAAGTGTAAAATACACTTATCAAGGTCTATCAGCAACAGCTTGTTATAATAATTTACTGCCAATAACAAAACAATCAGGATCCTATCAACTGAAAAGAATGCACAATGGGGGGTTTTGATACTCTAACAGGGGCCGTAACAGTGCACCAAATATTGGAGGGGGCGTCGGCCTATTGGTGCCTGCCACAGGGCCTATCACGGCCCTGTCACAATAGTAAAACCCCACAATGGGCTACTGATCCAAGTATAAAAATGCACCTGTCGTATTTACAGATAAGTGGGACGACAACCTCAGTACTAAAGAAATGAAATTTTGATGCCTGAGAATAGATATCAATTGATACTAGACGACAGTTCTTTCAGAAGTGAGAATGGGATTAGTGTCGCCAACCCTTTATCCAGTCTAACAAGTCAGACGCCCAATGATAATTCTCCACTTAAAAGTATGACGACTGATCATGCAGCACATTTAGCTGAGCAAGTATCCTGGCAGCTAAAGGTCTCAAGCTGTTGTTTCCCCTTTGTGTCAAGTCGATCAAAGACATTTGAGCTGAGGGTCCATACTTTTGTTTGATTTCCACCAGTCGAAAAATCCTTTCTAAAGAACTTAAAACCTTCTCCTGTAACCTTGGAGGACCGCTAATTAATTTTATCATCACAGGTAGAGCGTTTGCTTCAACAAGCACCTTGCTACCACATTGCAGCCTTTCACCATCAATTAAAGTCAGAAGCGCATCTAAAGCAGCTTCACAGGCTCCAGGTTCTGGCTGTCCTAGAACTCCTACGAGAGGTACGACGGCACCAGCCTCTAGTAGACAAAATGAGGATTCTACAGTACAAATTCCTCCATGAACGGGGCAACCTGCCTCTGGTATAGCGGAGAAGCACCAAAAACCCTGATGCCTTGGGATTCGCCTACTCAGCGTAGGAGAACTCACTGAAAGCTGACCAAGAGAAATTGCAGCTTGTCTTCTTGTCAGACTGGTCCCCACCTCTAACAACTGCACCAACACTGGAATGATCCCAGCTTCAGCTACTTTCTTCTGTGATTGCAGGTTCGTTGGAACAGTTAAATGACATATAGCTCCAACAGCATTCTCGATCAACTGACTTCTTTGGTGACAGCTATTCTTGTCATCAGGAAGAAAACTAAAAATTATAGGACCACCACCTGATTCCAACAGCCACCCAGAGATTTGTGTGGGATCAGGAAGGTGAGCAATAATGCCCATTGCATAAGCAATTTCTTCCTCGTCTTTAGAAGTCCTCATGACATTGAGTAATACCTCAATTGATGACCGTTCCACATGCTCCAAGATTGCAGTGCCATCATTATTTTCAGTCACGCAATATAACAGCTTAACAGCATTTGCCCGTAAACTCAGATCATCAAGCTCACATAATCGAACCAACACTTGCACGGCTGAGTACTGCGAAGACAATCAAGTAGCAAAAAGTCAGCATTAACATGATTGCATCCAATCGATGGCATAAACTTGAAGACAATAGGAAAGAGTGACTTATATATCAAGTTTGTCGGAAGAAAATTCTTTGGATGACTTGCACACAGTGAGTAAACTGTTTATAGACTCTAATTTGCATTAAAGCTAAGCAGATTAAGAATTTACCAATTTCCCATATGGTTATTCATCAACATATAACAAAACAAGTTTTATAGTCTCTTAGTCAAATACTGCAATTATTAATGTTCAATTCAAATGCAACTTTTATGGTGATTGGTCTAAAGAGTAAGTTTGTCAATGTACACTGACAAATGAACAGAAACTTATATACTTTAATCCACTTAAACAAAAGTAGTTAAAGGGTGGATTTGATATGGATCAAATCTTTGGAACTTGTAACAGTAGATTCCAGAGACGAACTTTTGGTGACCATTAGGCCAAGGAATGGGCCCTGATTCCCATGAAAAGCATCCTTCCGTTAAACGAAATGACAAATTTTATGATTTGATCATGCTGAATGGGTGGAAAATCAAAAGAAACAGTGAAGCACTAATATGTAAAAGTAGGAAATACACCTAATTGGCTTAAGGTTTTCCGTGAAGTAGGATCTCAAGTTCTTATTATGCCATTGCAGTTCATCATTCACTCCTCAACAGATTTGAATTAGGCAAAAGTTGCTCGTCCTAGACCAGTATTTTAAAAAATGGCCTGGGCATTGAACGAAACGGGGTCAAGGGTCAAAAGGATCGACCGGGTCAAACTGGAAGTCAAAATAAATAATATTTATTTATTACTACGAAAAAATGTTAACAATATGTGGTTGAATTTTACGTCACCAATTCAAAGCAAATACAGATTCATGTTTGTTAATATCTGTAAATTTGCACATCTCAAAAATTAACACCAACTTATCCAAATGATAAGTTTGATTAAAATTAAAATGTTTCAACCAACAAAAAAGAGTACCTTTCTACAACTACTTGATATAGAAATTGGTGATAGAAGACTAAAAAAAGCAGTAAGTGTTAATTGGGGTTTCATGAAGTCCAAGGTTGAAATTAAAGAATTGAGATGAGAGAGGAAATAGCTATAAAAGGAGAAGCCCATTGAGTAGGAAAATCGGCAGCCTTGGGTGAGCCTATGTTCCCAGTCATAATTCTTGGGAGTTTGAATCATTTTTCTTATTAGGAGAACCCAAAAAAAGGGGAAACCGCAGCCTTTTCAGCCAGTTTATGATGGAACTGACCAAGTGATGGATTTTTTACCAGTTCTTTTGTTAACGTTTATTATCTTATAAGCAAACTGGATTTTGGTCCAGTACATGGTTGAAGCAGCCATTAGGCTCTGGTTTAAAGACATTGTCCTAGATTACTCCAAGAACTTGATGCACGCTCTCCTTAGTGCTTACTCTCTTGCTGCTTAGAGTTTGTTTGAGTACTAAGTTTGACTTTTAGCCCACTCCATAGGTTGTTATTCTCCAAACTGGCTCAGTAGCGGTTGCTGAAGCCACTTGTGTTGTAAAGTGCACTGTGATCTTCACTCTTCTTAAAAGAGGTTCAAAGATTGTTGATCTGTCTTAAAGAGAGAAACCCACGCTCAAGGCAAAATTATATTCTGAGCTAGCAATTTCAAGGGGGAGATTTGGTAGGGTCGTGTATGCTTTGAAGGTATATAAGAGAAAAACTCAAATACATGAATGGCTTGAGACTTGATGGTGTAAGCTATTTTTTCCTCCACGAGGACCAAAACATTGTGCCAAATGATTCTATGGCACAACAAAGTTTGTTCAAAATCAATGGTTGAGATGGATGTGAGTGAATTTATACAAGGTTGAAGTTAGGTTAGAAATTCCATTCCACAAAGGATGTCTTGTACCAACTCTTGGGAGGAGGAATTCCCGACATGCTTTTATAATAGTCTAATGCACCAATTCTGGAGAAGACAAATCCCATAATATTCTTCATTTTAAGACCTCTTTTCAACCACTCTAGGTGTCCCTTAAAATTCCTTTTGTTGTTATATAGTAGTTAATATATTTATGGTGGCATGCTATTACGACATAGTACAAGAGAAACTAGTAGAATATACAGAGAACATAGAAGTAAAGCACACCCAAACTGGCGTGGTTCATCTCAAATAAGCCCGCATCCACAGGTAAATACTAATAAATCCACAAGAGAATGGGTAATTACGAGGATGTCTCACACTATCTCAGGAAAATCCATAATTCATCCCAATTCTCCCTCTCAGTGAGAAGAATCGCTCCTAACTACCTCTTTACCATCTCTTCTTATAGGGATCAAGTCAGCTAAATGGACTATAATAAATAAGCCAAGTCCTTAACCGTGTTCAGACACTCAGGAAAGGTAATTTTTACTTGAACTAAATCCCATATTCACCCATTGTAAAGACTGCAAAATAAAAACAGTGGCTATCGTCATAGTTCATCTGAGAAAGAAAGGCAATTTAACCACACAGCGTCAATGCTCTACAAATCCTAAATTGCACACCAACACATTCTTTCTTGATTTTTAAAAGCATGCAGTTGATTATGCAAGAGCAAAAACGGAGTTTTTACCTGTCTCAGTTTTTCCCTGACAGTAATACCAGAAGTAGATAGGCACAGGGCATATAATGCCTGGAGAATATTTTCCTGCACAGCTGGTCCTGTTAAGTTAATTAACGAAAATAGTTTATATATGTCCTCATCGGATTCCAACATCAAAACCTGTGATTCTCCCGGATGTTGAACTGTCGTTGACTGTGAGAGCTTCACAAGAACAGCAGCTACAAGTTCCCTCAAACTTTGAGATGATTTGTGATTGAAGAGAATGTCAAGCAACGGACGCATAACACCTTTTCTTATCATCTCCTGGCTATTCTTTCGTAATGTTGACAGGTTCAGCAGGGCTCCAATTGCTACTATACTCATTTCAACGTTATCATGTGAGATCAAGACAAGAAGTAAATCTATGACACCCTCTTCAACCAGAGATGATTTATTATGATCGGTTAATTCCATCTCTCCCAAAGTTTTTGCCATTCTGATCTGCACATCCTCATGTCCTGAACGGAAAAAATGTTTGAACTTTCCAGGTTTTATACTGCCAATGGGCATAGACTAAAATAGCAAGGTGTAGCGCTAACTAATAGTGAGAGCTTGCATACATTTTCTACCTAAATATCCAAATTCAAATCCCCAAACATGAATTTCAGACAAGATAATTGGTTAACTTTAGCATTCATAAAAATTAAATATTCTGTCATTTTCTTTTTCATAAACTAATCTTCAACTTTAGCATTCATAAAAATTACATATTCTGTCATTTCTTTTTCATAAACTAATCTTGAACTAAAAATATCTATTAACAATTTAGTTGATCGTGGTAGTATTCAAATAATATTTAGGTGACTTTTGCATATGGGGTCAATTTTTTATGGCTCAAAAAAATTCTCAAGGTCATTGGAAACTTCTGGAAAAAGATAAAATGAGGTACATAGATGGATTCAAGAAATGTTATACATTAAATATTAACAACGACTACATGCAGGAAGAACTGTGCTTTTATATTGAGGTGAAAAAACTCGCCTAACTTCGAGTCTCTAGCTACTTGGGTATGCCTTATTTACATTTTATTTTTATTTTTAATCCATAGTATTTAAAGACTATTGAGTGACTAGATCTTGAAAATTAAGCAACATAAAAGAAACTATGAAAAAAATACTTAAGACTCTCATATAGAAATTAAAACCAACTCCAATGTGAATCATCTCATGTTGTGCATCTGATTCTCCAGTGCAGATTCTCCATATTAAGCTCTAAAACTGGATGTGCGCTGACAATGCAGTTAATAGATAGGGAGATGTTATTTGTTGGAATATTGAGCGATCATGATCACTAACATTCCCCAATAATGCTGACTACCAATTCTGAACTAGAAGAATTATTAATATAAGGGAGGACTTTGTATTTGAGCCCAACAGTTGAGAACCCCACAAGCTTTTTAAAAATGAACCTGAACAATTGATCTTATTCTTAATATCCATTCTTGGAAATGATCTCTTAGCGTGCCAAAGCTATTATTCTGATTAAGTTTTTGAAATCTCAAACTTGCCAACAAGTTTCCAGGTAAACTCTGATTAAGGTTGTTGCATTTCAAAGTAACATAGCTATCTACAAATTTCTGATGTTCCTGTGAAGGGTAAGACCTAGAAAACATAGAGACAGTAGTTAAGTTTCAACGGTCAAAGGACTGAACCTGAAGAAAGACGCTGCAGGAGGTATTTAAAATAATTATTCTTTGCCATGAGGATAACATTGTCATCTGAGAATGAAAGATTGTCCAAAATGTTTTTTGCATATCTGGCAGCTTGATTGTCATCACCGCTTAACATGGTGACCAGAAGAAGTATGCAGCCCTGGACATTTCCGATGCATTTACGGACTGATTCACATTTTGAGAGTTCCAAAAGTAATGCAGCTGCTAATTTTCCTTCCCCAATGCGACGTCCAAGAGACTTAGCAATTAATTCCATGCCATTGCGAACTCTAGCAATTCTTTCCTGTAAAATGTATCATCTTAGGACAAGTATTAAAAAAACACTCATAGATGACCTACTGTTCTTGAACTGAAAGGAGTTTTTTCATAATAAAAAATAAATGTACTAATAAAACAGAAGTATCGGTAAAACCCAATATTAATTAGGCATATGTTACAATAATCTTCCACAAGTTCAACGACTTCATCTGAATAAAATATCAGTTGCTAGCAGCACTCAACCCAACTTAACAAAGCCTTCACCCATACTTATTTGGGCTCACCAAGGCTGGAAAATGAATTGAAAAGAATCTGAAATTTATTATTTGCTCAATTCATTTCAGTAGAATTTCACAAATGACCAAATATTATTTCCCAGCATACAATTTGTTTGCAAGTTATCTACATAGGACTTCAGACCACAAAGAAGCATCAATTCGCTAGATTGTAATGAACAAAAGAAGTACCTTGGCATCATCATTATCCTTTCCCAGCAAGCAAAGGATGACAAGAGCACGCTTTCTGATATCTCCATTTTTAGCACGAAGAAGCTTAGTAAGACACGGTATGTAATTCTCCAATACAATCCATTCTCGGTGCATTTCTCTTTGTTCACAAAGATCTTGCAGCTGTTCTAGGCATTGAAGCACTTCCTCATCCTCTCCAGATGATAGTCTAGATTTCAAGGAAGTTAGAATGATCATAGTGTTTCTGTCCTTCCATTCTTCAATAGATTGCCTTAGTGTTTTGTTAGGCCTCAGCATTGAAGTATCTAGTGGAGTCAAGGTCATGGGACACAAGTGACCATCTTGCTCTTCCAACCACTTCTCTATGGCGCTCCTCTCATATGTATGTCCTGAAGGAGTTTCCACAGGATCAACCATTACCTCTTTAGTGATTGGGCAGTAGAAGGACTGGAGAGGTTCTAAAGGCTGATTACCTAAAGATGCTCTCTTCATTAAATACCTCTTTTCTCTTTCCTCCAGAGACGATGCTACTTCTGCCCTTTCCAACAAAGCAATAATTTGATCCATCTGTATGGCTTCAGCCTTGTCTTTCCTCAACCGTAAATTTTCTATTTCGCTCTTAAACTCTTCAAACTCCTTTTTCAATGCTGCTCGATCAGTTGGAACTCCAACAGCCTTTGCAATAGAGACAAGCAAATTATTGGCATAGGAGCGATCAACATTCCTTTCCTGTATTCCTGATTCGATTTTTCCCAAAATCTCTTCTTCCGCAAGGGCAGCCCTAAACTCAGCATTTCTCATGTTATTAACTAGCTGGTCAATATCTTCTCTGGTCGCCACTGAAATATCTATAGAAGCCAAAGGAATGCAACTCATTGCATGGGTAATCTCTTTGGTAATGTCTTCTATGCGCTTAGCAATTGACCTGGAATTCACAAAAAGATAAAATCTGTTTCTCTCCCTGCAATCCCCAATAAGCTGTTTAGCAACCTTCGTCTCCCGGTAAAGAATCTCCACAAAGTTTTCCAAGCCTTTTGAATCACTAATGTCCTTCCCATTCAACTCCCGTAAGAGAGGAATGATGCGATCTAGGTAAGATGAGAGTTCTTGAAAACTCTTCTCCTTAATGAGGACATTTTTGGAAGTAATTGATACTTCAATGATGGCCTCTATAGTTTGAGGAAGGAGTTCCATTATCGGACCAAGAGACGGATTAGTTATAACATCCATTACCATTTCCTTACCAGCTAATGACTTTTGTCGACCAGTATCGTCACCAATCCCAGCACACAACTCAGCTGAAGAAGATGCTCAATCCCATTTACTATATACCTCACATAAGGAAGATACCCAAAAACCACATGACATGAGAAAAATGGCAATCAGAAAATAAAATCAGGACTCCAGTTTCATATATAATTAAAATTTTCTATGACCCAAAAAAAATAAAAATCTCTATTTCAGTATGTCTGAATTTTAAATAATCGATCAACAAGACAAGAAATTGATTAAGCTCATTAAGTCACGAATTTTGTGTGCGTGTGTCAATAAAAAAACAAAAGATTAAAAGATAAGGATGCATAATTCTCGGCTTTTCCCATCAACCAAAGGGGTCGATGAATTCTTAAGAGAAGGCGATGACCAAAGAAGAAATTATATATGATTATGCTAATAAAAATCAAAATTCCATATAATGAAAAACGCAAAGAATGGAACTATTCTTCTCATCTTCTTCACCACGACGACCAAAAAAGTCAACATAAATAATAAGAGCTGACCTGGGCACCCACAACACTGGAAATCTTTCCCAATGAAGCTGTGAGTTGAAAATGATCAATCATGACTGCCAAGGTGGAAACAAGGAACGTTGAGGAAAGAAACATTCGCTCAAGACTAGATTTGTGCAAATTTTCAAAGAAAATATCAAGAAAAAAAATGATGTAGTTCACCAGAGAGAATTGGAAGAAGCAAAAAAATATAAGAATTGGAAGGCCGCCTATGTAGTTCAACACAAAGATGTCTAATCTTTCTAGTCTGGTCCGTCTTGCATGAAGAAAAGTCACAGAGACAGACCATGAAACCGTGTATACTCGTTTCGTTCAGTCTTGACGCTAATCAGGACCCAACAAAAGCTATCGTCCACATGCTTGCTTTATTTTAATAATAATAATAATATCAAGCTCCACCGTTCATAATTTATTTTTTCTCGATATCGTCTTTGAAAAATCTAATAAATACATTTTCTTATTTTTTAAATAGTAAAAAAAACAAAAANNNAAAAAAAAAAAAAAAAAAATTTTTTTTTTTTTTTTTTTTTTTTTTTTTTTTTTTTTTTTTTTTTTTTTTTTTTTTTTTTTTTTTTAAAAAAAAAAAAAAAAAAAAAAAAAAAAAGGGGCAAACATATAACTGGATTGGTTCGATTAATCAATTATTTGAGACTTTAAATCGCCAAACCGACCCACCATGATTTTGTTTGCAAGAAAACCAAATCAAATCAATTATCTGTATTAAATCGATCCGAACCATCTCGAGTTGGTTCAATTTGATTGGTTTGGTCGACTTTTCGATTTATTTATTTTTATTTTTCTTCTTTTTTTTCCCAATGAATTTTATCTGTATTAAATCGATCCAAACCATCTCGAATTGATTCGATTTGATTGGTTTGATCGACTTTTCGATTTTTATTTTTTTTAACATGGCAAGGAGCGTGAAACAGTTTTTTTATGCATTGATCCAGCATTCACGTGACAGACGTGAAAGAAATGAGGGCATGGTTTCTTCTATTTCATTTAACAACGTTTCCTATCAATTTACAAGAATCATTAAACAGAAGACCAATAACAAAGTTCAAGAAACCATTAGAATTCATTTACCATTCAAATTTGACAAAAAATTCACTTGGGTTTAGTTCAATGGCGCCTTCCCAGTCAAATTTGACTAAAATATCACTTGAATTTTGTTTTTTGTTGCGTTTTCAATCAAATTTGACTAAAATTTCACTTGAGTATAGTTTATTGACGCATTTTCAATCAAATTTGACAAAAATTTCACATGAATTTAATTTTTTGATTCGTTTCCAATCAAATTTGACAATAATTTCACTTGAGTTTGATTCATTGGCGCATTTCTATTCAGTCCTCTGAATTACTATGGTCAATAATGAACTATAGTTTTTTTTTCCCACACAATAAAATAATGTAATATGATTCGAGATAGAGACGTAATCAAAAGTCGCATTTTTCTTTGGATTAACTTCAAAAGACCATAACAACTAGATTGGGACATCACTTTTTGATTCCTATAATTCAATTCAAGCTTGCTTTTGGTTTGACAATACTCGTTCATCGTTGAACATCATGCTGTACCTGTACGTAGAATGTTGTTTTCTGGGGTACAAGAAACGCGTACACTGTAGTAAGACATGAGTGGACTGGACTATCCCCCATGTCAACTTTGGAAACGTATCAACTAATATATGGTGTAATTTTCATGAACAGGCAAGCCAGTACTGTAGAAAGAAAAAGTAAACATATATAACCAACTTTTTTTTTTTTTAATGACAATGTGTGTCCGAGCCAACTTACGCGCACCTCGACTAATCCCACGAGACCCTGAAATTTACAGTCGAGTACTCACCTCAGTGGCTCTGAGAGAACTCGAAACATATACAACCAACTTTGAAACAATTTAATGTCTAGAGCAACATGCTAATGCTTTCCAAATCAGTTTAGAGCCTGCTGGCCGACATATGACAGCCTATCAACAGATCTCATTAGTGTCGACCTTGACGATAGACTAAGTAGGCAAACGTCCAAGGCTAGAGGGCCCAAAAAAAATTATTATTATATATATATATACACACACTACGTTTATAAATAATCAAGAAATTTTTTCACTGCGGCAGCCTATCTACAAATTCCAAGTGGCATAATCACAATGAATCTTGTGGTAATTGCTTATCTGTTAAGAATTTATATTCTGGACAGTTGTGGATATGGTACCTCGTATCAGTTCTGTGCATCTTTTATCTCCATTGGATTTCATTAGCTTTTGCCTACCTCCCTGAACATTTGTTAATGCCTTCAATGGCCCCTAAACCACCTCTCCTTACATATATTTGAAACTCCATTTTGAGGAATATGAACTCCCTAAACGCACAGGCCAAATTTTATTAAAAAGATTTGGAGTCAAATTTTAATCCATCGGGAAGTGAAATATAATTCGATAAAAGCATAGAGACATGCCTTACCAACAACTTGGACAAGATCTACTGACCGCACTATAGTGTTAATCTGCTCCCATTTTCAATCAAAGATCGGACAGCAAAATTAAAATACAAATCATCACAAAACAAGCAAAAACTACCATGAAATGAACCTGAAAACGTCACATTTTCCACTTCGCATCATAACTCAGGAAAATGAAAAAGAAGAAAACTGCAAGAAATAGGAAAATATACAGATATGCATACTCGGTGTCCAGAAGCTCATGCTCGAACTCGAACAAAAATGAAAAACCTAAAAAAAAAGGATCACGCATCCACCAAGAACCAGTGAAACAACTCCAAAATCATACCACAGGTAAGAAATCCGTTTGTTAAATTAAGAGGCTTAAGCAAATCCATAAGAAACTGTCAAACAATAATATTCTCAAACACCAACATAACAAATTAGAAGAAATCAAGTGACATGAATGCAAATGCAATAAATCATTTTTGGTCCAATGTGGTCCCCAAAAAAAAAATGTACTAGCTGTATTACCATTTTTCGAATAAGAAAGAAGTCAATGTTATTCAATCAAATATATAAAGAAGAAAAGCATAAAATCAACACTCTTACTTCATACCATGCAACTGTGCAAGTACTGAAAATCACAAGGATGAAGAGGCAAGAATGTAACAGAAAGTCTCAGATGACACCATAAAAAACGTCTATAAGCATTTGAGATTCACAAATCAGATTTAGTTCATCGCCTTGTACTCAAATCCAAAGTGCCTGAGAACAGATTTCAGTGTAGTCTGATATGTCTGAACATAGTTTTCATTTAGTTTATTGCATCAGAATTAAGAATTTAAGGCCATAATGAAAATAGAAATACCTTTTTCATATTTCACTTACATTACACTATAGATATGAAACCCGGTAACTGCAAGATTTTTGTGCTTATTCTAATATAGTCAGATACAGGCAGCATCATATCTAGAAATAATTCAGGGAATAGTTTACTAAGGTAGCAGTAAATTTTACACTGACCTGAGAAGATTTGTTACAACCTCTCAAAGGCTGACACAGCTCAGAACCGTAGTAGAAGGCAATGTGAGTCAGGAAAGAACGGTCCTCACTAGACCTTATCATCTTTACACTGTAGATGTGGATTTGCAACACCTATCATCTTAATTCTATAGTACATGTTCAGCTTAAGAACCCCAAGTTTGGGCCAAATTTACGAATTCTGCAGCCTTGGATGCAGAGTGCATATTCATATCCTTTCTTAACCACAGAGGCAGCAGAATTTGCGGAACTTGATTTTCAGTTAGTTTGATAAATGTTCAAGACATATTAAGTTTCACTTCTGATCTTATTCCTAGATGCTCCTGTGCAACCTGTAAGTATCAAAAACATAATAGCAGCCCCGAGCCAATGAGTGGAGCTATCGTGCTCAGCAAGGAACCCACGTAAACTCTGAGCTGCAGCTCTACTACTGACCTTATTCTCTCCCATACTCAACTCTCCTATGGACACTTCCTTTGAAAAGGCAATTCCAATGAAACGGGCATTGTTGATTATATTCTCTAGTAGGACCTTTGAATATCTCTGCTCAATCCTACGAAAGGACCTATGACAGCAATATTAACAGCACTTCAAACAACTCTACATAGCATTCTCTAGCAATATTCTTTCTAAAAGAACCCTTCCCTTATCAACATTGGAAACTATATTAGCCAATAGAATTCCCCAAGAATCAGTATCAATTCTCTGATTACTAGAAGCAGCCACAGAAAGCACCCTGCAAACTTCTGCTTCACATTTTGAATTGCAGAGCCCTTCAATTAAGATAGAATAAGTGGACTTGTCCAGCAATAAGCCTTTATCCAACATCTCCTCCAAGACTTCAATCCCTTCCCTTGCATTACCTACCTTACAAAACCCCTTGATCATCATGTTATAAGTAAAAGCATTTGGGGTGCATTTCTTCTCCACCATATAATCCCACAACCTGCCTGCCTCACACAACTCCCCTCTCTCGCACATCCCGGCAATAAGAGTATTAAACGTCAACAAACTAGGTATTGTACTTCTCTCAAACTCATCAAACAACTTCCGCGCTTCCCAAACTTTCCCTTCCTTACAAAGCCAATGTATAAGAGTGCTCGATACTGCATTATCTGGAGTACAATTCTTTATCAACAACTTCTTCCACAACTCACACGCATCCTGAACCTTCCCTTTCTCACACAAGACATCAATCACCCTACAACATAATGCTGAGCTTGGTATATACTGTTTATCAAGCATATCACTAACCAAATTAACAGCTTCCCCAGACTTCTTTTCCTTACACAAAGCCTCAATCATGACACTATAAGTAACATCATTTGGCTCAACCCCATTCTCCTCCATCTCATCCATCACTTTCGTTGCTTCAACAAACCTTCCTTGCTTACAAAATCCATCCATCAAAACTGTGTATGTGGTTGCATCAGGCAACCACCCTCTATCCAAAATCTCATCAAACACTCTCTTCGCCCCTACCATATCACCTCGTGTCACATACCCACCTAAAATAGTCGTATAACTGACAACATTGGGAACCATTCCCATTGCTGGTATTTCATCCATAAGCCTAACAGCACCCTCAATATCATCCCTTTTACACAGAGCCTTCAATAATATGTTACAAGTAAACACATTAGGCACGATGCCAAACTTTCTCTGGCAATTCTTAAACAATATGTAAACAGAATCGTATTTCTTGTTCTGAACCAACGAGTTTAAAAGGGTGTTAAAGGATCGAACTGACCTTTGTACACCAAAATCCTTGATACGAATGAAGGTTTTAAGGGCTTCTTTCGGTTTACTAGCAATTCCGTAGTTCCTGATCAATGTGATGAATAAGTTCTCCCCGCATTTGATATTGGAATGAAGGAGATCATTCAAAAGGGCATTTACGGGTTCAAAAGCACGGGCGCGGGAGAGTTTGTGAATGACGGAGTGGTAGGTATCGTAATTGTGGTGAAAATTGGGGTGATATTTACCGGCGTGGTTGAATATTTGGAGGGCAAGGTCGAGGTTTTGTTGGCGGGTGATAATAGAGACGAGGCGTTTGTGTGATAGTTTTTGGGGCCAGGGCTTAATTGGGGGCGTGACAGTGTAGGATTGGAGGAGCTGGGATTTGGATTTTATGGTGGAAAGGTGGTGGTGGGATTTGAAGATGTCATCTTCAGCAGCAGCTGTGGCGAATAGGTGGAGGATTGAGGGTTTAGCCGTGGAGACGGAGCGATAGGATTGAATTCTCCAGCGGGATAACATAGTCGCGGTGGCGCAGGAGAAAGACCGAGGAACAATTAGAAGGGTTTCGGTGGATGTCCGTTCAAAAATGGGTCTGAATTCTTCTGCACGTTCAAGATATTTTGGGCCTGCAAAAATTGGAGTCACTGTTCCAAACGACTGGAAAAGCCCAAAATGTTGAAAAAAAGTGTTCTTTTTTTGCTAAATCTGCTTTAAGATTGATTTGGGTTTTACAAACACAATTTTTGCAAAAAATAAGCAGTTGATTTTGTGTATAAGAGGCAAATATAAAGCCAAAGAAATCTCCATGTGACTGCATATCAGCATTCGTGCTTGTTAAATACCCAATATTAACAAACTAGCCAGCTGCTGATATTATATTTCTTGGAAGAGCTCATCCATATTGAGTAATATTCACTATAAAGTGTGCACGAAATTCGTTGATATATGTAGTGTAATACGTGCTTGGAGATGAGTGGAGACAGCATCTGTTGACGCGTCTGGTTCCCAACCAAATTCGGAGGTCAACAGAATTCATATATTCCTTTCTTTTCTTTTCTTTTCTTTTCTTTTCTTTTATTATTATTTGTTTTTATTCCAAAGAACTTATGAATTGAAACTTATTAAAACTATTCTATTACAATAACCAGATTCATTATCTAACTAATCTGAATTACAAGCAAAATCATATGAAAATACAATCGAAGGTAGTGTATTTTATTGAAATTTAACTTAAATTTTTTCTTGAAGGCTACTAAAACTGCAATGCTTCACCTTCACTTTGATAGCCCCACTGAGCTTTTGAGCCCTCTTAGCAATCCCAAAAAGGAGATTTTCCTTGTGCTTCAATTCCATCTTTTTCATTTCAGATGGAATAAATACCAATTGAGTCCCATTCAACTCATCATAAATCCTCTCAAACTCCTGCAAAACTTCACTCGCCATTCCCACCTTATTTTTCTTTATCAGCAACTTCACCAACTTCACCAAATGCCTATGAAACCTACCCTTTTCTGCAACCTCCTTCATTACACGTCCCTTCTCTTTCTCTTCGACACAAGGGTCATTCAATACAACTCGGATCTGTTCATTACTTAGCCATTTCAATAGCCTCTTTACATCCCTCTCCACCTCTTCAAGCGAGCTGTTGCACTGAGCCACGTCTAAAAGCGCCGTCGCATAGCCGCTGGCGGCTTTCTGGTGGGCTGTTTCTGTTCTTGATGGAGATTGTTTGGGAGATGAGTGTTGAGAGGAAGAAAGGAATGGATAAGTACCTAAAAGTGTGGCTTTAGTGGAGATGGAATTTGCAGGTTTAGCAACAGAATAACAAAAATAGGGATTTGGAGGAAGAAAATGATGATGAGATGATTTGGGATTCTTGAAATGATAGAATTCACGAGGTGTCGAATGAAGTGAACTGGAGATGTTCAAGGAAGGTACGGGGCTTGACAGGGTATCCATGGAGAGACAGAAGCTGAGCTGCTGAGGAGAAGAAGCCTCTAAACAAATTAATTATTTGGATTCACTTTGAGGTGAAGAATAGATTGCTGCAAGAAAAGAATAGCAGGAGGATAGGTTTTCGTATCTCAGCCACTGGATGTCCAATTTTATTTTATATATATATTTTAGTTGGTAAATAAAAGATCTAGTAGTTATTAATCCAATCTGTTTTTGTTTATTAATTTTACCTTCCCCAAAAGAGTCGAATTTTGTCATTGAACTGGAAAGACTTCACTATTACAACTTCAGCACAGTGTTAATCGAACTATTAACCATCAGGGCCGTATCATATGGTTGAGATTATGTGCAGTTAAAAATAAGTTTAAAAAAATTATTTTTAGAATAATTTGTAGTAAACATGGACTTAATGTAGCTTATATTGCGATATTTAAGATGACAAATCTCTCTGTGTTAGGTTGATCGATATTTGACCTTTCTTCCATTAAAATTTGGACAAAAGATTAAGGGCAACTTATAAAAATAACCTTAAAATTGAAAGTCTTTTGAAAAATCATATGAAAAGTTTTTTAGAAGTAAAAAATATTGTATAAAATTAAAAAGTGACATTGTATCACTTTTTTTATAAAAATTGTGTCACTTTTCTTTTCACGGTGTCACTTCTAAAAATTTAGTATCACTTTTTTATTAAAAAGTTGCATAAAATGTCACTTCTATTAAGAAATGATATTTGTTGCTAAAAAAAAAAAAGTGATAGAAATTTCAAAAGGATGATTGAAAAAAAATGACAAATACTAAAAAAAGAGTGATAAAAATTTACAAAAACTGACGAAAATTCAAAAAAAAAAAAAAAAAAAAAAAGGAAAAAAAATTTAAAAAAAATTAAAAAAAAAAAAAAAAAAAAAAAAAAAAAAAGAGTGACAGAAATTTAAAAAAGTGACACAAATTAAAAAAAAAATTACGCATATTCAAAAAAAAAGTGACAAACAGTCAAAAAGTGACAAAATTAAAAAAAAAAATAACAGACTCAAAAATGTGATAAACACTTAAAAAGTGACAAAATTAAAAAAAGTGACAAACACTCGTTTAATAATTAAAAAAAATGGTGAAATTTTTACAGCATTGTCTTCGATGTAATTTATAGTATTTCATAAGAATCGAAACAAATTAATAGAACCTCAATCAAAATTTCAAGTTAACCGCTTCCAGTATTCAAAGCCGTAGAACTTCGATCGCCGAAAGAAAAACCTCTATGAGTTTGCTACATAAGTTACAACAAATCATTGTCCAAAACATTCAATCGTCACTTTCTTGAACCCATACATAAGGATCAAACACTTCCACGTAAAAAACCTACTGTTTATATGCTAATACGCAAATAAATTTCAATATTCATAGATCCTTGTTACCTTTCATAACCAAGTCACATAAACAAGTGCACACATTAATATTGAACAGAAAAAGGCTTACCTAGGTTTATTTTCTTGAATATGCTTAGCGATGTTAATGAGCCGAGTCGAGTCGGCTCGGCTCGTTACCATACGAGCTCGGCTCGTGAGCTCGGCCCGTGAGCTTCTTTTTTAATTTTTATACACGTTTTCTTTCTAAATATTTTTTAAAAAATACAATTTTAATAAATTTTTATCTTATAAGTATTTTTATTTTGTAAACAATTTATTTAGATAAAATATGTTTTACTAATAACTTATAAGTTATTAGTAAAACATATTTTATCTAAATAAATTGTTTACAAAATAAAAATACTTATAAGATAAAAATTTATCAAAATTGTATTTTTTAAAAAATACAATTTTAATAAATTTTTATCTTATAAGTATTTTTATTTTGTAAACAATTTATTTAGATAAAATATGTTTTACTAATAACTTATAAGTTATAATTTATAAGTAATTTTAATTATAATGTAGTTTTTTTATGATTTTATCTTATAAATAATACTTACTTATAACTTATAAGTTTTTTTTAATTATAATTTAATTTTTTTCTTATAAGTTATAAATAATTTTTAGTTAATATATTTTAATTTTCAAGTTTATTTTGAAGAAAACATATTGATTGAAAATCATTATTTTATAAATGATAAAATTAAATATGATATGAGAAATTGTAAAATGATTTTTCAAAATATTTTTCCTTTTTAAAATAATAAAAATAATAAAATATAAACCCTCCTCCTTTATCCTGGTTTGGGACCGGCTACTTCAATAGTCTTATTTCGAGTAGGCGGAGTTAAAAATTGTACACGAACAATTTGCTACGTGTACAATTTTTTTTTAAAAATTATAAAGGTATTAAAATAAAAATTCGTCATAAATATGATTAAACTAAATATCACTTACTTGACTACATGCAATTTCGACATATTTATTTTGCAGTCGAAAATGAGCGTCTTGCCAGTCCTTCACGCACATTAATGCTTCCAAAATATTTTCTTTTAGTCGATTCCTAACATCAGAGAGAACTCTAGACCCTGCAGTAAAAGTAGATTCCGAAGCTACAGTGCTAACCGGAGGTGTTAGTAGATCTTTGCCATTGCAGAAACTATGGGCAATCGGCGTTCATACTTTCGCCAGAAGTCAACTACTTCTTCTGAATTTTTCCTTAATGCATTGTTACTAAGCCAATTATGATTAAAGTAATCAAGTAATTCAGCAAGCAACGCATTTTGACTAGTACATGCAGTAGAAGACAAACTACTATGACTGGAGGAATCATATGCATTTCCAATTTGACCATATCTATATAAGTTCATACCTTCAAATAGATTTAAAATTTCAACGTCGTCATCTCCTAAATTAGTGGGAGGAGTACTTGTAGAGCCGAAGGGTATACGAGTAACTTGTGTAC